TATACAACCTATTAATAGAGACAACAAGCTGAAATAAGATGCATATAAAGGGCACTTTGGCTGTCTAATGAAGCAGGATCCATTGATTTGTGTGTTTCCAACAAACTCAGTCCTCTGGCTCCACATCTCATATAACGATTCAGTACCATTTACTTTATAACTTTAATTCTCTATTCTTCAACACAGCACTTGTTTCAAAATTTATCTTTAGTGATCTACCTCCTAGATGCAGCACATCTTGCTTAAAAAATCAGGAATTTAAGAATTTATACTCATTTCTTAAATATGGACTCTGACTTGTGGCACTTCTAGAGGAAGAATTGTTATCAAAAAGTTAGAAATACCTGATTCAGAAGCTAGTGTTGATGTGTGTGTGGGAATGTATAAGTGTGTATTCCAAGGGCTTATTTCCATTAGAAACTTGATGTGGGGAAAGGTACCAACTTTGGGCCTGTTTACCTTTGACTTGTTCTGAGTTTCCTGAGGTCCTGGTTAAAATACACTTGAAGACCAGGGCTGAATGAGATGGTAGAGTAACACCTCCCCCCCCCCCCCCCCCGTAACACAGTGTGATTCTATATACTGACTCTGGCTTGGCATTCTGATTTCTTATTTTGTATGATTTGCTCTTTGTATATCTCTAGGCACTATTCTTTTGTCTATATTCAGATCTTGCATGCAGACACTTATTTTGGCATTTATTCTCTAGCTGCATACTAAGTGCTATGCCCTCAAAGAGTGCAATATTCCGGAGAACTCTGGGTAACGTTTGGAATTTAGCTTGCCTGTCCTGAACATTCATTTTAATATTTTACCAGTCCACTTCAAAATTTTACCAGTAAAAATGCACTGTTGTTCAAAAGGTTATATTTCTTGGTTATTATCACTGGGGTGTCTACTGCCCTCTTTTCCAGCTTTGGAAACTTCAGTATGGTCTGTTCAACCCTGCAGCCCACCACTAGGATGACAGCCCACCACTGCTGCCCACTACGCCTCCCGCAGGGAACTGGAGAAGAAAGCTTTAAGGGACAATGGAACGAGGGATGGAGCATGTAGATAGAGCTGGTTCCTGCTGTCACTCAACAGCCAGAGGGAGGGGCCAGTGACCCAGCCTGTGTGTCCTTAACATTCTTGTGAAGACTGAATACTCAGCTAACAGTGTCCTGGTCAAGCACATCCCTTGAGCACTCTCCAGGTGTCCCTGCTAACGATTTTTCTGTCGGCCTCCTGGCCTCATGGGATATTTGAGAATTCTTTAGGGTCAAGAATAAAGTGAAAGGCCTTTGGATCCCATGCTCCTCTTCACAATACCATTAGGTTTTTTCTCTAACTATTCTCTTTATTTTAAATTTTGTTGCCTTTATTTTTTCCATAATCATCTTCAATAGCCCATAAGAAATGCCTAAGAACCTACTAGGCTTAGAGCCCAAGCAGCAATAAAAATTGGTTTATCTTCTGGAGGGTAAGTAGGATTCAAGTTTTAGGTGATGCTAGATCTTGAGAGATATTTTCATTGTGGATGGGTAATACCCATATTTGAGGATTAGTCACCTGGCTTTTTACATTAGCATTAACAATGACAACAACAGCCAAAAGGAAAGAAAAAAGAACCAAAACACAAAAGCAAGCTAGATTTCATTTAAGAAAATAGGATGTGTTCTAAACTCTGTAGCATTCTAATGAAGGATACACAGAACGATGGAAAATTATCTGAATAGTCAATACAATACAAAATAAATTACTAAAATAAGTAAATTATAACAAATAGACATAACTTGCATTTATTGTACATCCACTAATATCAGTCCTATTCAGATACCTTATTTATTTGTATTTACTTTCCATGAATTAGTTATTTTTAGACCCATTTTAGAGAGAAGACCACCAAAGGCTTAGAGATGATAAATAACTTGGCCTAATGTCAGACAGTTATTACCGAGTGCTTTTAAAATGATCATGTTATGATTGGCATTTTTTCTTGTGTTCAGTGCCCTTTCCATTACACACCACTTAAAATGTTGTAGTGCTATTCAGCTGTGTTATATTAGACTTTTGCTTCACTCTCTAGGTCTCTCTCATTCTATACATACGTACATACATACGTACATACATATTTAAAAATGTGATACAGAATACCATCTTATCATCAGAATGACATCACCAGTGAGCCACAAACTGTCAGATATGTTGGTCTTATTCCTGCCCCATATTCCCTTTCTTCTTACATAGAGTAAGGAGTTCTATTCCACTTCTATTCTCCTAAACAAGACTTCTTAATCACAGCATTATTGCATTTTGGTCTTGATAATCCTTTGTTGTGGGAGCTGTCCTGTGCATTGTAGGATGTTTAGCAAAGTCCCCGGTCTCAATCTATGAGGTGCCATCAGCACCACCCAGCATCATCATCTAAAATGCCTCCATAATCATTGCCAAATAGCCCTTGGGAAACAAATTTGTCCCCAACTGAGAAGGACTGCTTTAAGCTCAGTATGAAAGTAACTTTATAAAAGTGTAGTCCCTCTGCTCAACTTCTTTCCTGCGCATTAGGGACTTTAAGGAATTAATTATTTAGGCACTGTATTAGAACAAGTCAGATTACCCTGTGGGAACAAACAATGGCTTAATGCAACGAGCCATTGGCTCTCCAGGGCAGCTGGCCTTCCAAGGTAGCTTACCATTCGAAGCTACTTCAGTCTTCCAGTAGCTCAGTATCCACATGTGTTTCCGTGATCCTCACAGCAGCGAAAGACAGAGCATAGAGCATTGTGCACAAGGTCTTAAATATGTCCCTCTGGAAGGGACACGTGTTACTTCAGCTTACTTCAGCTGTCGATACTTTCTATCGACAAAAGTAAGTCAGGAGCTCGAACTTTCAGGCAGAGAAGTAGTTTAGTCATCCATGCTTGAAAGAGGGTAACTGGGAACACTGGTGAGCATCAAGTGATGTTTGCCATCATCATTTATGAACTGTTGTCTGAATGCTTTATATTGAACCTAGTAAAGTTCTAGGTGACATGATTCAGATAAAGTTGAAACAGAGTATTCGTTCTGGAGGAACCCATTAGTTCTGGAGAGGATGTACATGTGTGAAATAATCAGTGAGCAAGACAATATATACTACATGCAATAAATTATAATAATGTACATTACATTTATATATTATTTGGAAAATATTTGCATTTTTATGATGTTTGCATGATATGTCTTTCGGATTCTGGGACCCAATTCCAGTATGTGTGGCGTGAGGCGATTTCCCCATACATCCAACTAATTTTCTGGAGAACAGCTTGGTGTCTTAATTCTGACACTATCTACCTGGAGATATCATCAGCTTCTGCAAGTTAAGAGTTAAGTCCTATAAGATGCTCCCCCCACTCTTCACTTCAGATGCCACGTGCAAATGAAGGTGGTTACCCGTGCTTCTGAAGGACTGGCTATAAATCAGAGGTACTCTGACCCTTTCCAATTTTGGGTTTTGATTAATTTGCTAGAGCAGTTCCTAGAACTCAGGAAACCTTTTACTAGATTACTGGCTTATTTTAAGAGGTATAACTCAGGAACAGTCAGACAGCATAGATGCATAGGGCAAGGAACATGGGAAATGGCATAGAGCTTCTGGACCCGCTTGGGTAGCCCCACTCTTCCTGCATTACCAGCCTGGTGATGGATGGAATCGTGACCTTTTGGGTTTTGTGGAAGCTTCATTACATAGGGATGATTGATTAAATCATTGGCAATTGGCGATTGGTTCAACCTTCAGCTCTCTCTTTTCCCAGAAGCCGAGGGGTGGGTGGAAGTTTCTGTCCTCTAGTCACAAAGTTGGTTCCCCTGCCAACCAGCCCAGGGTGGGTGCTGTCCGAAGTTACCTAATTAACATAACAAAAGCCACTTTTAGGGCTTTTATCACTCAGGAAACTGTGCTGGAAACTGAGATGAAGACCAAATACATATTTCTTATTATAAATCATAATATCACAGTATGTCTATCTATTGTTTTTTTTCTTAATGTCCAATAAAATTTCATAAATCTTTCTGGTTAAATGTATTCCTAGATGTTTTATAATTTTCTTTCTATTTTTGAATGAGATTCATCTCCACTGCCCCATTTTTACCTGGCTTTTGTGAGTACATAGAAGAGCTGTTTGATTATTGTACATTTTCCCTCATCCAGATATCTTAATACTTTTAATACTTGCATAGCTTTTGTAATTGAATCTTTTAGGGAGTGGTTCTCAAGGTTTTGCACTGAACGAGCAGCATCAGTATTGCCTGGGAACTTGTTAGAAGTCCAAATTCTTGGACTCTCAACCCAGATCTACTGACTCAAAAACTTTGAGGGTGGGGTCCAGCCTTTGGGATATTACATAGAGAAACATGCTTGAAAAAAATATGAACATTTTCTTTCTTTTTTTCCAGTTAGTTCTATTTCTTCTTAGAGCATTAGATGAAACATATAGGACAATGTTGGGTACTAATGGATATAAGCTTGACTTTGATTTTGTTTAAAAGAAGATTGTTGTTTGCTAGCTTCTTGTGTTTAAAAGTTTTCCTACTATTTGAAATTTTTATGTAGAGTTTTAAACAGGAACAATGGCTGATTTTGGCAAATGAATTGACTGATATAATCATTGAAGTTTTGCCTTTAACTTGTTAGTGTTTGAAATATGTTGAGTTTCCTAATGTTGAACCACATATACATTCAAAGAATAAATTCAACTTATTTTAATATGTTGCAAGATTTGTCTTGCTAATGCTTATTTCCTAGCATTTTAGTTAATAGAATTATTTCCCTAAAAATGACACCACCAGTATTTTTTCTTTCAATAATATTGTTATTATATCACTAATATTATTACACCATCTAATATTGTTACTGCAGTTTTTCCTGTGCCAGATTTAAAGGTTAATTGCATTTTATTACACCGTGTTTTCTGCAGCTCCTCAGAGCTCAAGCCATGACAATAACAATAATAATATTTGCCTTTATATATTCTCATTAGAATTCTACCAAATATCTGGCTGGGTAGCTGCCCTCGTCAAGTGGAACATATAACCATCAAACTGAAGCATGAATTGGGGATTACAGCTGTAATGAATTTCCAGACTGAATGGGATATTGTACAGAATTCCTCGGGCTGTAACCGCTACCCAGAACCCATGACACCAGACACCATGATTAAGCTCTATAGGGAAGAAGGCTTGGTCTACATCTGGATGCCGACACCAGATATGAGCACCGAAGGTAAGCATCAGAAGAATCTTTCTGGCTTCTTGTTGAATGTGTTTCAGAGAGGCCCTTACTGTCTGTCTGTCTGTCTGCCTATCTACCTACCTACATATCTTTCTGTCTATAAATGAATGACTTAAATATGAATGATAGAAATGGAATCAATATAAGGTTTTAGATTTAATATATTTAATGGATTTTGGCACATTGGCTAAGATTCTGTTTAACATGGCTCCTTTGATTTGTTTATTTATTAAACATATATTTTTCATGTATCTAATGTATATGTGGCATTATGCTGGCAGCTAGGAATAAGTGGTGAGGAAAAGCAGGCATAGGCCCTGTCCCCATGGAGCTAGTCCTAAGGGAAGACATGCATTCATCAAATGACCACAAATAGAAATTTACAACTATGATGACATTTTTGTTAGGAAGATACTGCTATGAGAGCATGCACAGGCAAATCACATATAGGAAGAGGGTCAAGGAAGGTTTGTTTGGGTATGTTTGAGCTTAAGTCCGAAGGTTAGAGGAGGTGAGGTGGGAGAGAGGCTCCCAGCAAGAGGGCTGCCAACTTGGGAAGTCTCTGCTGCAGGAGAATGTAGAGTGTCACAGGACCTACAAGTTGGCACTGTGGACAATGGATGGGAGATGGGCCCAGAGTGGATCTGGGGACCTCAGTTAGGGGGTTATGTGATAGTTGAAGCGGGAGAGCATGAGAGATGACACAGCTGGGAGCTGTGTGGCAATTGCGAGCCTGCAGTTCCAGCATGAGTACCAGCCGAGGATGTCTCTGTGAAGGGGCTTTATGACATGGGGGCTACTGGGGCAATGAAAGACAAATAAGGCATAGTTTTGACCTCCTAGCAAGAGGTGGTAAGAGAATTTCAAAACTTATTACAATACAGAGAAGAATGTGATGTGAGGAAGGAGTCAGGTGCTCCTGGTGGGTTATGGGGTGCTGGTGGGGGAGAGCACAGGGAGGCTGTATCCGTGTCATGTGGTATTTGAGGTGGACCTGGTTTTGACAGGTCAATGGCGAGGAAGGAAGGGCATGCCAGATGGAAGAAACAGCATGGTCAAGGCCCAAGGCATGGGGTTTTACAGGAATGCTCTGTGTTTCAGCTTGGTGGTCCAGTAGGGTGCTTGTGGGGCAAGGAATGGAAGAGCTAGAACCCTTACGCTACTAGTATCAACCAGATGTCAGCAGGGGGCAGCAGAGAGCTGTGGGAATGGCACAGACTCAGGGAGTTTGGTGAACTGCTGTTCTGGGGGGAAGGAAGGAAGGCAGTTGTGCCTAGTCAGAAACGTTTCTACCATCAGTCCTCTTCCCCCCCAAAGTACATAATGTATCAGACACTCTCTTCAGCGATTTCATGTCTTACCTCATTTAATTCTGACAACACTCCAGGCAGATGCAATCATCTCCATCTTGCAGAGGAAGAGACAGGTACAAAAATGTGAAGCAATGTGGTCAAGGTCGTCGGAAAAGAGACACAGCCTGGATTTCAGCACAGGCAGTCAGACTCAGAACATTGCTGCAGACACCTCTCCCTGCACGCTCCCCTGGGCTCTCTGTGCACATTCTACAGACCACCACACTTGTAGTCCCTTGTAGTCACGATCACCTGGAGTTAGACAAAGTCATGAGTGGCCAGGGAGGTAGCTGGTCTCCCCAGAGTCAACAGTCCAAGATGCAGGTGGGCACAGAAGATCTCAAGGATCCTAGGGAAACTGCACGTCGGCCACCTTGACTCTTTATGAATCTCAGGTGATTCCCAGGCTGGACTGAACCCTCACTGGGGAGGAGGTATAATTTTTATTCGTGAAGGAAGAGATGGTTTGGTTACTCCTGTTGGTAACACTGATCCAAAGAAACTTGTTGTAGCCATAAGAGCTCTGCTCGTTTCCAAGGGGAAAAAAAAATCGCTTTACTTGCACGAAAGATCTTGGTTGAATCTAGGCCCACTGTAGTTGTGTTAAAGTCTTTTTGGGGTCTCATCACAGCTACAACCGTGGAGGACCTTCCACACTGAGGAGGTTTGGCAGCACCTGTGACAGCAGAAGGAAAGTTCCTGGGTAGCTGTGTGATATCGAGCGGGCTAGTTCCTGCGTTTGGAAAATGGGGGTAATCATTTCTGCCTTATGGTATCAAAACAATAGAGTAAGATGATTGATAGGAAAGTGCTTTGTTTTTCCAGTTTCAAAACAGACAAGATTGTTAGGTTCATGTGCCTGTAGCTTCCAGAGAGCATTCTGATTTTTGTTTCCTTGCTTCTGATTTTATAGCATTGTTACCCGATAGGGTATAATGTGAGACAAAGCTCAGCACAGCTGACCTGCTAACTATGGCATGCATCCCGCTCCATCCCCGCACCGATAAGCTCAGGGCCCTGATGACCAATAGGCATTTGCTCAATAGTTTGGGGGTATGCAGAAGCCTGAGGGAAAACTCCATCCCCAAAGGCACACCGTAGTGGTGTTAAAACCTTTTTGGGGGTCCCAGGGTCACCAGGTCCCATCCCAGTCACAACAGTGGAGCACCTTCCACACTGAGGCAGTCTGGCAACCACCAGGACAGCAGAAGGAAAGCTCCCACCTGCAAAAGGCCGAACGCTAAGACTAAATGAAGGCTTCCTTTGGTTCAGCATGACCAGGGGAGTAATCAAAGGGTTAACGACCATTCCTGAGGCGCAGGGGATGTTCTGACCAATAGATTAATCTGTGTGGCTGACAATATTAGCACAATGAACATATAGATTAATTCAGCTGACTATTTTTGGAACGCTAGAGAAAAACCCATCTGGAAGTGTTTTGAGCTGTAGCATAATGCTGTCAGATAAAGGCTGAGAAAGAAGACAGTTTGTTAGGACTGACTGTCACCACCAGTTGTCACAGACCTGTTACAATCAATTGTACTATCGATCCTTACTCTTGTACATTTTGTCACATGCAGAGGAGTTAGTTAGGTTTTTTCTTTCCTTTTTTTGTTTTTTTTAATTTTGGTCTGTACCTTTCACCTGAGACGTGACAAATCTCCCAAATCTAGCACTCATCTGAAAAAAACCAAATCTGTTCATTAAAATTCTGTTTTCCTTCATAGGAAGTACTCAGATTGTGTTTTGACCTCTGGCAGGGCAGTGCTGGTGATAACAAATGGTCTGCCCTTGCCTCCCAAGTGAGGGCATGTGCTTCCCAGAGTCCTCAGCTACCCCTTTGTTGTCACACTCAGTTCTTCTCTGACTCAACACCGCGTTCAGCTCTGCCACGATGCTGACACTGACCTTGGAGCCAGGGCATGTGAGCTTGGGCCTCATTGCCACCGCCTAGCTCTGTGGTATCAAGTGGGCTAGTTCCTGCATTTGGAAAATGGGGTAATCATTTCTGCCTTACAGGATTATAACAATGGAACAAGTTGATTGACATGCAAGGGCTTTGAAAATCACAAAGTTGGGACTATATTTTTAGTCCCAAATTCTTAAGTTTCTATTGAAGGATGTACTAGATGATATGGACCTTATCTATATTACATTGCAAAGGTGGAAAAGGAGATATGCTCAAATAAAATAATAATATATTCAGCCATAAATCTGCCTGGAGTAAAAAAGGAAGGTGTGTATGTGTATGTATGTGTGTGTGTGTGCACATGCACGTGTGTGTATTTTGGAAAGGCTGAAAGTCGGTCCAGAAATAATTTCTTTCAAGGTCAACCTTAGGTAAAGGGCATCTTCAGGGCCTTTTCCATTCCTCTCCCTGAGTTCAGGTCCTAATGCCACAGGCTGTTCCCAGCATTTCCTTGTCCCTTTTCTCCCAATATTTGTTTGCTCAATGCATGCTTTCAAGAAGCTTTTAATCATTTCAGAGTTGCATTAGGCTGAAGGAGGTGTGGGCCACAAGTTAGATTAGAGGAGTCTAGTAGTGTCTCAGATCTAATCAGTATTATTGGATTTTGTTTCATTTTATTTTTTATTCATGCACTTAATGAATGCTTATTGAGCATCTACTGAGAGGTGAGGCCTGTTTTAAATTCCAGAGTAAGAATCACAGACAGTGAAATGTTTTTTCTTTTCCCAAGTTTATTTATTTATTTATTTATTTTTGTGATCTTTTTAAAAATTTTTATTGTTATGTTAATCACCATATACTACATCATTAGTTTTTGATGCAGTGTTCCATGATTCATCGTTCGTGCATAACACCCAGTGCTCCATGCAGAATGTGCCCTCTTTAATACCCATCACCAGGCTAACCCATCCCCCCACCTCCTCTCTAAAACCCTCTGTTTTTCAGAGTCCATCGTCTTTCATGGTTCGTCTCCCCCTCCGATTTACTCCCCTTCATTCTTCCCCTCCTGCTATCTTCTTCTTTCTTTTTTTTTTTTTTTTAACATATATTGCACTTGTTTCAGAGGTACAGATCTGTGATTCAACAGTCTTGCACAATTCACAGCACTCACCATAGCACATACCCTCCCCAATGTCTATCACCCAGCCACCCCATCCCTCCCACCCCCCCACCACTCCGGCAACACTCAGTTTGTTTCCTGAGATTAAGAATTCCTCATATCAGGGAGGTCATATGATACATGTCTTTCTCTGATTAACTTATTTCACTCAGCATAACACCCTCCAGTTCCATCCACGTCATTGCAAATGGCAAGATCTCATTCCTTTTGATGGCTGCATAATATGCAGCTCTTCTTTATCCATTCATCTGTCGATGGACATCTTGGCTCTTTCCACAGTTTGGCTATTGTGGACATTGCTGCTATAGACATTGGGGTGCACATACCCCTTCAGATCCCTACATTTGTATCTTTGGGGTAAATACCCAGTAGTGCAATTGCTGGATCGTATGGTAGCTCTATTTTCAACTGTTTGAGGAACCTCCATACTGTTTTCCAGAGGGGTTGCCCCAGCTTGCATTCCCACCAACAGTGTAGGAGGGTTCCCCTTTCTCCACATCCCCGCCAACATCTGCCGTTTCCTGACTTGTTAATTTTAGCCATTCT